GCATCTTATGTCTTGCGCCAATACCAAATCCTCGTTTTGATATCCAGCAACGAGCAGCCCGCTGAGTCCACCAGCTCTTCATAAGAGAAGTTGAAAATGATTACTTATTTTCAGACACTTGAAGATGTTTCGATCCAATGCATCGCCTCGCATCATCAAGTACTTGGAATTGGCATTGAGAACTCTTACCCCGGAATAATTCCCAGTTTAGTCTCAGTTAGGCCAAGTTTGGTTGCACCAGGCCCTAATTTGAAGAGAGCATAGAAGAGAATTGTCAGACTACTTTCTGCCTGGGCTCAAGAAATAGATCAAATAAAACAGGATAAGATCAGAAGTTTTCACTTACCAGCGACCCGGAGATCACATGCTAGTGCTAACTCAAGACCACCACCGAGCGCGGGCCCATCAATCGCAGCAATCGTGGGCATTGGAAGCGTATCAAGCTCGTGCAAAGTGTTACGAAGGTCGTGTAAGAATTTCGAGACTTCGACCTTGCTCATCCGTCGACGTTCCTTCAGATCCGCGCCCGCACAAAACGATCCTGGTACGGATGACTTCAAAATTAAAACTCGAGTTCCGTCAAACCTTACCTTGCCCAAGCAGGTAAACATTTGATCTAATAGTTCCAATGAGATGGCGTTCTTAGCTTCTGGACGATTCAGGTTAAGATAAGTGATTCCTTCTAAGCCGGCGCTCTCTGGTGGGTGATCCAAGTAAACGACCGGTTTCGAAGTGGAATACCTCCGCCGATACAAGCCCGGTAAGGAAGAATTGTAAACTGCTGGCCTGGCATTAAACAGCGCGAAGTTCAGACGAAGCTTGAAGACAGCTGTCGAGGAGGACCTGATCATTTCCTGATTTGGTTCTTTCTTGTGAGGTTTTCCTGTTTGCGCGCGTTTCCACAGGTGCGTCTTGAGTTTCGTTCGACTGTTGAGTGGTGGTCGGCCTCCGGCTTGGCAAGAGGATTGGAGAAACACAAGGAAGTGACGTCAACCAGGCCCCCTTCTCCCCAAGCCCGGTGGTCTAAGAGAGCACAGTGCGCAGTACACTATCGTGAACCCACAGCTCGCGCACCACACAAAAAAACCTATAAATTCCGAGCCCCCCCCTCCCCCGGAGTGTTTGCCCCATGAACAACGCTTATCTCGACTACGGTCGAGTATAACTGATGTCTTTCCAAAAAGCACGCAGTATCTGACTTTCGATACCCGTCTTCGGACAGGAAAGAAGACTTTCACTCTATCATTGCGCCGTCTTGACATCACAGACAGACTCGACTGGAACTTGGGTGCAGTGCAGCTTTCGTCGACTCTCCGTGAGGAGGCCTTGAGCTTGGAGTGCAATGTTCTAGCCAACATTCTTCAATCAATCACTTTGTTTCCATTTTTATGTTTGATCAAGCAATCCAACCAGAATTTTTATACTTGTTTTGGAGTCTTCACATGACCCTTCAGGGCTTCAATGTTTCTAACCTATTCACCTCTCCACTCCCATGAAATAATCTTGCTTTTCATTTGTCCCCGAACCCCGCTTGACTTGGCCAAGCTCACTTGAGTGATGCAGTTTTTCTACTTGAGGGCAGGAGTCCTTCGAGTGAAGAAACTATGAGAACGCCTGAATTTAGCTTCTCCGCGTCTTTACTACAAGACATGAGTTCGACAACATGGCAAGACGATCTCTGTTTTTGACTTGAGTTTTGCTTCTTCGTTTCGTTGCTTTTATGAGCTTCTCTCCCACGTCCACTTGGGCCGAAATCTGGCATGCTGTTCCCCAGAAACGTCCACGCCATCCAAGACTAGTCTCATTTCACACTCCTTGCAATCACCTCTCCACACACTCCGCCCTCACAGTGATAAGCTAGGTTCCGGACAGCTCCGGACTGAATGCTTTTTGGTTAGTTCCCGAAAAGGTCTTATATGCAAACTTTCTTAATGGGTTGATTATCTTTCAATGCCTCTCTCTAACAACGACAGGATGGCCGAGTGGTTAACACCACGGTCATTTGCGGGTCGCCGCGGATGTAACCGTCACCTTGACGAATCCGCGTGCGTGACTGCGGCAGTAGGCGCAGTGACTGCGCACGAAACCCCCAATGAAACCCCCAGATGTCGCTCCGCGCGGGAGCGACATGCAATTGTCCGTGGTGTAAGGCGGCAGTTTTGAATCTTCCTCATGGTAGCTCTCCAGCTGCTTCACTTTGTGAGCGTGAGTTCAAACCTCACTCCTGTCGAGTACTTTTGCATGTTCCAGCTTTGTGTGCTTCCTCATTCAAACTGCAAGCGATATGAGGATCAAGTGTTTTTGTGATGAGATTAGATGAGGTGCCAATGCCACCAGTGAGTTATGCCCTGTCAACTCTAGTTTGGCATAGTAGTTTTTTTTATGAACAGCAAGCACTAATTACAGAGATTTCAAAGTTCTGATAGTATGCATCTGTCAAGCAAAGTAAGATTGTGATAAGTTTAAAAGGCACCAACCACATTAAGGGGAGTCACGTACTGCTGATCAAACTTTTTTAAAATGGCTGTTTGAAGGTTCATGGGAAAGTGAAAGAGTTGAGTGGCATACACAGTTGCTGATGGCAATTAAAACCAACCATGCCCCGCCCACAAAGTCAAAAATTGATCCACGGGGTCTATGCCCGGGGGGGGGAGGCACGTACCCCAATACTTATTTTAATGCCAATTTTGAACTCCTACAGATGTGTAGAGTTCAAAATTGTAACTGCTAAGCTTTTACTGCAGTGGTTCTTTTTTTTACTTGTGTGACATACATACCAAAAGCCATACTTGAACCCATAACTACGGATTCAAGTTAGGCTTATCCATGGCTCAAACCTCTCAGAGGTCCTCCAAGCACCTATATATAGCATTAACATGCAGTGTTTATTTGATACTCTGAGCCAGTTTTTGATCACTCTTTGGCCTCAAAAGGGCTGAAAACCCATGTAAATTCCAAAATAAAATCCAATTTCTCAGCAAGAAAATTCCAACACCCTCCAAATCCAGGGTTGGTTTTTGCCGTTCACAACTCATGTACACTAAGATCAACACTGTCACAGATACAATACACTGTATGTATCATGGAGAATTCTGCAAAGCTGCATGGCCAAAAACCAAATTTGTTGAATCTCCTTGCAAATAAAAGCAGATTGGTCAGATAGCTTTTTTTATTGGGGCTCAGATACATAGTGATACATGGCAGATACCGTATCTGTGACAGCGTTGCTAAGATGCTCATTTCTAGTACAATTTCAAACTCACATGAGTTGGGAAAGTTCATAATTGTAACCACCAAGGTTTCAACCCAGTGGTTCTTTATTTTTTCTCAGTGAGGTGTGAAGGTTTTCAGACAAACCATCCAACAGCCAAAGCTCCGTCCATAATTAAGGTTTTACGCCAGGCCTCTATCTATGGCTTTGCGCCATTCTGCGATCCCCTTCTTACCTTCCCATTCAAGCCTATCTTCAGTGCTACTCCAAGGTTGCAAGGGATTTTTCCAACGCTCTGGCAGAGGCTGAAAAGAGCTCCAAAAATCTGAACATACAAAACAAAAAAAACCGCACTTCTTTTTTTTTGTCTTGGAATTTCGGACATCCTGTCAATCCAGGGTCGGTGTATGATGTGATTCCCAACTGTCAAAGGGGTTCAAGCTTCTCTTGGAGGCTTATGAACTGGTCACTCCTAATTCCATTTTCTTTAAACCCTTCTCACATTTTCAGACAGCCCACTGATGTATCTTCAGATATACTAGAAAAGAAAAAACCTGCTGATGCACTTGTGTGTTTGTGTTCCCTGTGGACCTCACACAACATGAAGCCCTCCCAGATGTGTCTGCATCCATTTACAACAGAGATCCCCCCCCATCAAGGCTGTTATGACGGCTTTTAGGGCCCCGGCTAGGCAGCATGACCGTTGGACAATCCCATCCCAGCGGCCGCATCTGGACTCCCAATTTGCATCCGCAGTCTCAACCCCCCCCCCCCACTTTTGATCCAGCTCCTTTTTTCTTTCTCTCAAAGGGAGCATCAAAAAATACTCACAAAGCCCTGATCAACTTTCTTTTTTCTCATCAGTCCATTTAGTCAAACATTGAATAAAAACAAGGATAGATTGCCAATCAATCATTCATGTAAATCCAAAAAAATAATGAAAGAAAAGAAAAAAAATCAGAAGAGGGAGAGGAAATACCTATCCAAAGCACACAAACTCTGTGCCCTTGATCAGATGTTTCTGAAGGCAAAAGGATAATGCATTGTAGCCATATTTATTCTTTTGTTGTAACAACAATAACATGATCTGTGAAAAGGGCAACGTGAAAAAGTCTCTTTCCAAGGGATTATATCCTCCTCTTAGAAGTGTTTTTTTTTTCAATATGCACCAGTGGAAAAAAAGTTTGAGTTGACAACACAGGTAGAGGATTATGGAGTATATATTTAAGTTAACTATAGATTATGTGAGCAGCGGCTAGTTAAGTCTCAAGCAAATTAAAAAAAACACAGGTATACGATATGGATAAATCTACAACGGTGGATGGCCAGAAGAAAAGTGTTACAACAGTCGTAATTATTCAGATCTTATCGTCTTCGTAAACTGGGTGGAGAGCTTTTGACAGGTTGCGGGGCTGCTCCTCCGCAGAAGGGTCCCGTTGGAGCGGGCAATCCACCGCCAGCCCAAGGGTTGGGGTACTGACAGTCCTTTATAGGGACATACCACCCAGCGCGGTCGGCATCGTTAGCCCAACCGGTGCCAGGTCCAATAGAAGCGTTGAGAGGAGAATACCAAGGGTTTGGTGCATCTGGTCTCAACAATCCGCCTGAGATATTGCCTTTGGAAGTCACCCTTAAAGGGGTGATGTTGATATCCTGCCGTATCAGCAGTTTTTGGATCTCCTTTCATTTGTTGTTTGAATGGAAGTCTTTTGACTTTCTCAAGTGGTGTATGTTCTCCGTGGTGGTATTATCTGTCCACACAAAGAAGTTACAACCTTTGAATCCCGTTCCAATGGATAAAAGCATTAGAATCCCTACCCTGATTGCTACCATCTCCAACCATGCAATGGTTCTGTTTGGTTCAGCTTCAGACCAGTTTTATTTTAGTCAAAGTTGAGCCCATCTATCCCCGATCAGGACTCCTATCCCAAACCCTGTTGACATGTTGCCTACCCAATTTATTTTGGTAGGGTCTACTACAGGGCATGATCTAGTGTGTGAATAGTTGTTCAGGGTTGACAACCAAAACATTAAATCTTCTATGGTGTCTCCTGGTACCATTCGTGTTGCCCATCTCTTTTTCCACTCATTCATCCACCAATAAACGCTCCGGGAATAGCACCTTAGCTGAGGGAGGAGTAAAAAAATGTGGTTGAGCCTTCCTGCTAAGACCTCTGCATCCGTAAATTTGAACTATTTTTTTGGTTGTAGGAATTCTGAAATTTGTGACTTCCTTTTTTTCTAAATTAGTAGAAGGTAAGCAAACCATTTTATTGGAGCCGTTCCAGATGAAACCTATGAATTTTTGCTTCTCGGCAAATTCCGTGCACTTCTCCACGCTAGTTGCCACCCCTAGTTTGACAGATCTTTTTGCTATTGTGTTCATGTTGCAGAGTGAACTTTTTGTTTTTAAAAAAGGTTATCATCAACCCAGCGGAATGTCTTGACAAAGTCAAACTCTGATTGCATAATCTGTTTCCAAGCCTCTGCTGGTAAGCCAAAAGATCTGCACCCGGTGACCCCTCCAAAAGTGATCCTGGTGTTGATATCAAGTTCTCTGTTAAGATCCTTCACCATCAGGTACCTCCACTGATATTTCTTGGTTGGAATCTGTCAATAAGCTTTTGCCCAATCAAACAGTGCAAGGTCAAAGATTTCTGAGTGTGAACCAAAGAAATTTGATACAACCTTGAAGTCGTCCCATGTAGTCGTGAAATCCAATTTATTCACAAACAAATTTACCAATTTTATATCACTGTCTCTCTTGGGGAAGGATACGTTGTTGATTGGTTGCATTTTCCCATCAGTGTTAACCAGCAAACTCAAGGGGCTTGTTCTAAAAAATGTGAAGTCCCACCGCCACCTCTTCTGTGATTGCTCTCAAGGTGATGAAGAAAGATCAGTGATTGTTTGTTCACACCAAATGAGTTTGGGTCCACTCATCGTGGTATGCTAAGCCTCTGTAGGCTTTGTCTTCAGAGGATTTTGATGGCTTGAGCAACATGTGCACCATGAGGGCTTTCTTTTGCCATTCTGGTGAGGTGCAGAAAAAAAAGAACACAAGTGTCAACAGAAATAGAGCTTTATTGTAGTCTAGTCGCCAGAAAATCACATACCTCTGTCAAAAATGGTCAAAGGAATCAGGGCTCTTAATTTACAAATATTTTCTTCAAAGTATGGAGTAAAACCTATGTCTTGGTGACTGGTCACCTCCCCCACCACGTACACTATTTTGTCTTCTGTCTCTGTTATTGTTAGAGATGGTCGCTTTGCATCCGGATATCCGCTCTTAATTTCAGCAGAATTAGGCAATTTTGCTGAAATTAAGAGCGGATATCCGGATATCAGCGGATATCCGGATGCAAAGCGACCATCTCTAGTTATTGTTGCGGTTGTCGCTAAGGATTGGAGATCTGAGATGCTCAAAATTGGCCTGGTTGAGATTGATTGTGTGATAACCGGTGGTTTTGCGTTATCCATTGCCTCATAAGATAGTAATAAAGCCCTCACAAGGATTTCTTTGCTGTCTGCTTGTGCGGACTTTATCTTTGACCAAATGTGATATTTCTCTTTTGACGTTGAATCTTCAGCTTGTGGCGGTACTGCCATCTTGTATGCGATTTCTATTTGAGTCTCTGCTGTTAACTCTGAATTTTTACTAATGAGGTCTAAGGAGTCGTCTCCTCCACGATCCTGCAAACCCCTCTAACAGAGTAGGTATGGACAGGGATCCCGTCAGATCTAAGCCCGCGGCTGCACCAATTGTGGGTTGCATCTCTAATACGATTGTCTCTAATACGGCGGAATGTTTGTTCATCACCATTGCTTTTGAACAGTGTGGTAAGCCAATCCTGAAGATCCAAGCACATCAAGAGTACAAATCACAGAGGAATCACAGGATCAAGACACCCCAGAAAGCTCCTCAGACCCTCAAACAAATCCAAACACCACTCATGAATCCCCTCAAGCACAGACCACATGGATAATGATATTTCCCAGCCAGGAACTCCCCACCCTTGAAACTTACTCCCCTCAAAACATATTCCATTCTTCTTACCCCTTGTGTCTCACACTAGTAGCAATCCCCCTGATCCATGAAACAGTTATTTCCTCCTATCTCCTTCCATGGAATATTGCCCCCCTTAGTTGTTTCGTACTGGTAACCTTGGGAGCATTTTCCAACTGCTTGTTTCCCCTTTTTTCTCTGGATAAATATTTTCCCTTGTTTCATACTCTTCATAGAATTTTCCACTTATCCTCCAACCACAAGCTGGTCACTCCCCAGAATTTTGTATATAAGGAGCTTTTTTTTCCTCTTCATTTGTTTCTCATCAGATCCTGCCCCAGTAAGCCAGATAACTGATCACCCTTCATCAGATCCTGCCCCAGTAAGCCAGATAAATGATCACCCTTCATCAGAGCCTGTCCCAGCAATTCAGATAACTGATCACCCTTCATCAGAGCCTGTCCCAGCAATTCAGATAACTGATCACCCATTATTAGCCAGGTATATGCCCATCAACATTTGGGATACCTTGATTTGTGAACAAGTATATTTAGACTAGTAAACATAAGACACATTAGACATACCATTCTCAAGAAATCTCCAAAGCCACACCTTTCCTTAAGAGTCCATACTCTTATATTTTTCTTGTTAACTTACTCATTGTAGTTACCAGAGAGGCAGCCCATTAAAGCATCCATCCCTCTCAAGCTCTATTCCTCCCAAGAGTAGTTCCACAACGGGATGTCTTGGACAACATTTTCTGTGGAGCATCCACTTGAGGAAATCAAGGTTGCTATTCAATTAAAATTGCTGATGTTTTGTAAATGTTAAAGTAATTGCTGAGAGCTTAGTGCGCTTACTCTGAGTGATCTTGAAAAAGGGACACCGGGTTTGAGGAAACAAAGCAACTAGGAACGTCTGCTGCCATCTGCTGCCAAGAAAGTGTGACTGAGAAGTTTGGTGTAACAAAATGTTAGATTTCTCTGCCCAAGGAACAAGTATGTTAAACATTTGTCTTACTAGTGAGAGTCAAATTAAGTAACGTTAGCCTGGTTGGTTGTGAAGCGGATGTCTATCAGGGCTTGAGTTAACCTGGAGAGAATGATAAAAACAAAATGGTCCTGTTAGCCTGAAAAATAAACTATAGGTGTGTTGATAAAAGGAATCAGGGTCTTGTTAACCTGATGTTTCGGAAAAAGGCAATGAGCCTCAATGGAGATGGAGAGGTGAGTGTGTCACTTTGCTTAGAGCTGGGAGTTCTAGGGAACAATGGCGAGTGGGTGGAATAGCTTAACAAGTCTTCTTCTTATCCGTCACTGTTGAAGGGTGACTGCAGCTTGTGTCAACAAGTGATCCTGACCTGTTACGGTGTATCAGTGACATTTAGGATATTGCATACCCATATGCAAGAACCGAAGACAAATCCAAGTTCAGCCCCTGTGACTCAAGGCTGAAAATCTTCATCGCACCCGGAACCACCATCGTCGCAACCTGTCGAATCATAAGCTCCCTCAATTCACTGCCGATCAATCCCGAACTGTCAGATTCTTGTTTCGCCTCACCACTTGTCTAGACCAAAGGAATTCAGGAGGAGCTCGGTAATAACTCAAGTGGAGGTATATCCAAGTCCCATCACTGTCTCGATTCCTTTCTCTATCTCTCTCTTCTTTTCTTTGTTCAAATTGATTGATCTTACATTTCTCTTTCAGGCTTGTTTGTTATTTTCCTTTTTCTCCTATAAAAATTTCTCGTGTCTATCAATTGAGTCGTAGCCAGAACAAGAACATCAAAAAGGTACTTAGTGATTTCACTCTTTCTTCTCGTCAAGTATTCTTGCAAGTTCATTTATTTCTTCAATTTCTTACTCAATTCTTTATTGCCTTTTTCCTTTTGTTTATTCTATTCTCTCAGTTATCTACTACTATTAGCATTTGATTATAAGCTGCAATAAAGTATTTGACCTCAAAACTTCTACATGGTAGCGAGAGTCAATACTTGGCTATAATTCATTATAAGACTAAAGTTAGAATAACAGACAGTTTAGGAAATTCGTCAGCATGGGGAACTCGTCGGACAGCTCAGATGATGGAAAATCGTCGCGATTCTCTTTCAAAAAACTCGATCGCAACAACTGGGCAGAATGGAAGACTCGGTTCGAGAACGTCATCACCGCCAAGGGCTATGAAGACATAATGAAGGACAAATGGGTCAAAGATAACAAAGACACCTCGGAATTCCGACAAATGTCAGCCTGGTGCATGAACAAGCTGTACTCATCGGTTAAGGAAGAGTTACACCCGGTCGTCAGTGCGCATAACGGCGATATCTACGGTGTGATCCACACTCTTGGTGCTGCTTGCGGCGAGAAATCAATCATCAGTCTCTGCGATAAGCTCAACACCATAATCAACTGTACTTACTTACCAGGTTCATCATTAGTTCAACATCTCACTACGTTTCGGGAATCACTTACCGCTCTTCAAATGTCAATCCAAGCCAATCCCAACTTCATGACGATCTCAACCGGTCTTTCAGCGGCTCTCTTATTACGAAGCTTGCATCAAGATGACGGTCTATCATCCTTGGTTCAAAGTTTGTACGACAAGAAACCGTTTACGTTTGAAAAAATCTATGATCGCCTACTCATTGAAGATTCTCGAAAAGCAAGTGGAGTTACGGAGTCAGCCTACTACTCAAATCAAGCTCGACGATCCGGGAAGAAGTCTGCAGATCAATCATCATCAACTTCGGCATTTCGAGGTGCAAGTTCATCTCGTGGGAACCATCGAGGAGGATCATCAACTCGAGGAGGTTTCAGAGGTGTCAC